TGTCTGTTTATGGCACAGTCAAAAAAACACAAGGTCAGGAACATCTACAATGAAATTTCTAATAAAGGTTGACGAAAGTACATCGGGGTCGGAGAATTCGAATCTGAAGTCAACTTTTGAGTAACTTAAAAAGTTACTTATATGAAAAAATTATGCTTCTCTCTCCGAATTCTTTTCAAAGGAAAAGCTTAATTCTTTTGGAAAAAGTCATTCAGAAAAAAGGAAACTGGAAATATGAAAAAGTTTTCTACGTCTTGAGATCTGTGAGTGATGTCTAGTTTCGGTACTCTCTTCACAGTATTGTTGTAGGCGTGGGTCGGGGTATGACAGAATCGGGCGGTGTTTCAATAAGTTGTAGTGTGACTAAATAGCGTTTACACATTACTGGCACTCAGTGTGAGGTGCATGGCATTGAGCGATTGGTATTTATTCACGGTGGTCTCTGAGTTAATTAGCTTTTTTTCTGTAGACTCTGCTTAACTCGAAAGTAGCATATAAAGAACTTTGTAAGTGATGATAGAGCCTGTAGGGTAAATGCAGAATAACCAATGATCGCTTTAATGTATTCGAATAACGTCGCAAGTGAATATGAGCAAGGGCTGAGAGAAGTACTGGTGAACCACTTGTTACTAATGTTTCAAAAGCATTCTAATGTTGTTTAATGAAAGATTTAGGTGAAGTCTACATTTATCATGAATTACAAAGTAAGATTCTTCAAATGAGGAACTCTAATAAAACTCTAATGTATTGGCTAAAGAATTAGGTTAAAGAAATTAGGAATAAATAATAGGAAAGTGTTGATTCGGAGCAGTTCATCTGGAGCATGCGCTATAAATCTAACAGTTTTTCTAAGTAAGAGTAATCTGACACTTGATAGGATTTAAGTGAAAAGAACTACCTCATGGGAGAAGAAGATGAGAGATAGCAGCGACTAGCTGCTGCCCTGGAAAATTACTTTATGAAGGGCGTTAAATTATAAGGACTCGATGGGAAGATGTGCATGGGTTAGATCTGATAGATTTCAGTAGCGATTTAAGATGATAAAAGAGAAGAAATATTTTCGTATGTATTATAGAACTAGTTTTTCTGTAAGAATAGAGTGTAGGGACACTATAGGTGGAAAACGAAAACGTCATTGAAACAATTCGATGCGTTTTACGGAAAAAACAAATTGGAATGGAAAAGAATGCGTTCTTGTGTTAGTATATATTCTTGTGGACGTAGAGTATGTATTTGCTCAAGTAGATGATTAGCTAAAACAGTATATGTCGTTTTCAGCTTTCCGTAAATGTATGAAAAAGAAGAGAACAATTGGAAATCGTGCGGTTCTTTCGGTCTTATGAAAATATTTACCAATTAAGTGACTTATTGGTTGTTACCATAGAGTGGTTTTTGACTGTTTATCAATTAAATGCACGAAATAAGCGTGAATACGCTATTGAAATTGTTTCTGCTTGATACTTGTATTAAAGGTTCTTTTGTGTTTAAATCTATCATCTGAGAAAATATTTACATAGATAGGCGTGGATATAAAACTAAGACCTGGTATTAATTTGTCATATGCTATTGTTACTATTATGAAAAGATGATACTTTTAACCTTGCATGCTTTCGGGAATTCCGCTATGTACAATGCTTAGTTACAGTTATTCGAAGAAAATAATTTTGAAAAGATATATGTGAATGATAGCGTCGTTTTTGTATTAACTGGAAATGAAGAACCTGTCGTTGAAGTACGCTTATGTAAAAGTAGGACTTAGCCTTTGCTGGTGCCCCAAAGAGACGCTCACGAACTACTAATCGTCCACCTTGCAACCATACTGCAGACTGACGTCACAAAAGATCTATGTATTGGCTAGATATTTTGAAGAATAGCGCACTAAAATTTTGCTAATGAGATGTTCAAAGAAAACTCTGATTTTCCAGCTACAGAATCAATTTGAGGAAATTAGAAATAATGCATGAGAAAACTCATGTTCGAAAATTGTAGTCGATAATTCTAATGGTTCAGATGTAACAAATTTTTCCAATAGTTAATGCTAGGCATGATGGAATTTAAATACAAAAGGATATTGTTATGAAGAAATGGGGTTAGACGTGGCAGCAGCTAGTCGCGAGTGGCGCCCCGAAGGGGCGCAGACGAGCGACTAGCTGCTGCACGGAGTTATCTGCAGAAGTGCCGTTTCAATCTGTTGGGATTTATTGAATAAACGTCAATAATCGGGATCCAATTGACTTAATAAAGAATATCAGATACAAAAAGCTGAAAAAAATCATGTCAAGACAAGGATGAGAAACGGTTTTTTGTGTTTGGGCACAATACCTGAATAATTCATCAGACAGAAAACATTACTGAAAGAATTTATATTTGCTCTGTTGAGAGTTGACATGAATGAAATACAAGAGTGTTTCTCTTGGTATATACTCTTCTTTGTATTAATTGAAGTATCTGAATGTATACTGATATAGTCAAATTACCTGCCTAATCTTATCGCTACTTTGAATAAGACCTTGTTGTATGTATGATATTTCGTTTAGAGATCAGATACAACATGATTTATTTTAAGCTAGAGGTTCTACTGAGCTCCTAGTAACCTAGAGAACTCTATAGTAAACAGTATCATTAACGAATTTTCTAGAGTGTATATAAATTTCTAGTAGAATTTTCAGAGAGTATTCTTAATTTTCGTATAACTGTTGTGAATTTCTTTTGCTACGTGGCCTCTGAAAAAATTGAATATGAGTTTTTGTGATTTTTCGAAGTAACTCGAGTTCGGGATTAGGTGAAGTGTAAATAAAGGATAACTATTTTGCGGAGAAATAGAATGAAACATAGCAGTGACTAGCCGTGAGCGGCGCCGACAAACGACTAGCTGCTACACTAGAAAGACCCTTGAAGGAAGGCTTCAGACTGTTGGCATTCATTCAATAAATATCAGCAGTCTGAATCTAACGAGTTTGAATGAGCAGTAGTAGTTGTTAAGTACTAAGAAATATTTTGAAATAAGAGTGTGACGCCCCTTTTCTGTATGTGCACAGTATATGAATAGTACATTTGACGGAAAACATCACTTGAACAATTTATATTCATGTTATCGGAATGAGACTTGAATGAAATAAACAGCATTTTTCTGATGGAATGTTGTCTTATGCGTACTCATTCAAATGTTTACATGTATACCAATAGATTCAAATGATCTATCTCGTCTGACGGCTGCTTTGAGTAGGAGCTTCTTTCAAGTATAGTAGTCTGATTACAGATCGGACCTAATATGACATAGTTGTAGCTAATAGTTCAAGTAAACTTGTATTTTTCTAGCAGACGCTCTAGTAAACAATATCGTTAGTTGATGTGTTAGTAAGTTAATTGATTTTGAATAGAAATTTTAAAGAGTATAGCATGTTTTTACAAAAGTATCTCGAATGTATTTTGTTTCATTGCCTCTCAGATAACTGAATATAACCTCTATTTGTTCGGATACATGTCAATATCGCGGCCATAATTTAGTTCTTTAGATTTTTGTTGAGTATCAGTGTGAGGGTGTGAATTTGAGGGTGTGGGTGTGGGGTGTGGATGTGTAGGTGTGTGAGCGTGGCTGTGGGTTTGTTGGTATAGGTATGGTTGTTGGTGTTAATATGAGCGTGAGTGTGGTTGGGTGCAAACCTTCCTTAAGCTACTAACATCCACATCCACACCTATATCCACACGCCAGCCTAAAGATGTAAAGCTATTTTTTAATGTCATTGTGTACACAGTGTGAATGTGTATTCAGGTTCTGCAGGTTAGGATATTTTACAGGAAACAGAAGATATTCTTAATTTCAAATAGTTTTTTTTATTTGTTTCCATGTAAGCGATCAGTTAAATGCTTACGTATGAAATCCTTTTTCTAGCTGATAGATTAAGATGTAAGAATTTTATTAAAGTGGTCCTCAAAGTTAGTTTCCGATACTAAAGTAGATAAATACATTTTGAACATGGAAAAGAGTTACAGAATACATAGTATCTAAAACAATGTTATTTCCATAACACGAATTTGACAACTTTGCTTGAATCGTTAGTTCCTAACTTGGCTCACGTTCCTTTTCTAAGAATAAATATACTTAATGATTCACTAGTCAATACTGAATATTCGAAAGTATTTGTACAAACTTTCAGGATTGAGTTGAGCGAGGCTCAATGAGCCGACGCGTTACTTGTTTATAATAATTATTATTTAAATAAATAACCTTTTAATAAATCTGATGATACAAGTTTTAAAATAGGAAATCATCTTCTTCATTTTATTTTTCATCAAGTTGAGCATGGAAGTTAGTTTATCAAAACAAAAAAAAAAAAATTTTTTTCTATTTATAATAAATAAAATAAAAAATGAATGCGAAAAAGTTTACTTCCATTTCAATCGGGTGTTGGAAATGTAGCCAATGCTGTTTTAGCTTCTATAGGTAAATAAATAAATATTATTTATTTGTTTTAGCTCGAGATAATCGTTTTAAATCAATTGAAATCTATAGAGAAGTAATAAAAGATTGAATATTTTTATTTAATTGATAGTGATAAACTTCATTTTGCATCAACAACAGCATTTACTTTTTCATCTCAACGACAAAAAAGATTTCATAGAGATTTATATTAACTTAAATCAATATTTATTTAACGTTCTATGGAAATATCAAATAATCCTGAAGTTATTCGTCGAATAGGTCATTTTGCAATGAAAAGAGCATTAGAAGTTGATATTTATGGAAATGTTAATTCAACACATCTTCTTGGATCATTTATGATCAATGATATTGGTGGTAGTGGAGATTTTACTAGAAATCCTCGAATTATTCAATCTTTTTTTTTTGTTCTTATTTATTTATTTTAAATATTCGATGTTTTTTTTTAAATTAGTAAATATCAATATTTGTGACTCGATGATTAGCTAAAGATGGAAAAATTTCATAATTTGTTCCAATGATCTGACATGTTGATCATAATGAACATTCAATTCAAATAATGGTTAGTCAACAAGGTTTAGCTGATTTACGTGCTAAAACTCGAAAACAATGAGCTGAATTAATTATTGAAAAATGTCTTCATCCAATCTATAAAGATCAATTAAGAGATTATTTTCAAGATGCACAACGTCTTTTATTCGGTCAACATACACGACATCATCTTAAACAAGCTCTTTCGTGGCATATTATATTACAACAAACTGCTTCTATGCATCATGATCAACAAACAACAAAACCAACAACTAGTAAACATACAGAAAAAGCAGCAAAGAAAATTGATAAAACAGCAACAACGAATAATGAATTGAATATATTTATTATTCTAGTGTTATATAAGACCTATTATAATAAAAAACTTTTTCATTTTTTATTCATTTTGATCTTAAAATAACAACTGTCAACAAACTGTCAATTCGATGCGGTCAACTTTATTTAATAAATAAACTTATTTATTTCCTTGTTTTCAATTGGTCTAACTCAAAATAAAATCGATTTAATATACTTTTTTTTCTTAACTAACTTTTCTAGATATTTTTAAAAATAAAAGTAAGAATCAGTTAATAGAGGGTATAACAATATAACACTTTATTATAGAATCTTCCTTAGTTTTATTTTTCAATTGATTTATCATCGATATAGACGTGTCAGTTAATAGGATCAATGTCTTCAACTAACCCTCATATATTTCGAGTTAGTTTCGAAACGAATTTTTTCGTAGATTAACCTCAACTTTTTAGATTTTCGAACATCGACAAGTTGAACAAGAAAAAAATGGTTAAATCTTTATCGAATAAAGTTAAACAATATTATGTTTAACATATTGAATAGAGGATACACCGTAACGCCACCCAACCTGGTTCAACCGAAAGTTTTTTTCAGATTTTTTTAGCCTAAACGAGAGATCATATCACCAAACTTAGAAACTGAGAATATTAGATTTTTCTCATGTACTGGTGAAAGGTACCGAAATTGAAAATCCTCTCATTTTCGCGTTAGACTATAGAAATACAAAAAAAAAGGGTTTTTTCACATATTAATTATACTTTGAAATATTCTCTCTGCTCATCCTATTGAGTAAGAATAAGTCTAAAAAGATCCAACAACAAAATTTTCTACAAAATCGATTGTGTCAATCATTTTTGCAATAACTTTAATAAAAAAATAAATGTGGAAACTTCGGATTTAAATCCGCGAGTTATGTCTGCTGAAGAACAGTCAATTAGACATATCAGTCATCCGACGAATCTATGGATATCGAAATTATACTGGGAAATCTTTCCTATAACACTGTTTATTTCTGTTGACTATTGATCCATCAATAGGGCTTCGAGGCGAATAGAGTGAAAATTTCAACTCTTACCCTTCATTTACCCTAAGAAAGTCGTTTTTCATATAACTTGATTTCTATTGGTCACTGCTCAACCAATAGTATTTCGAGGACAAGTGGAGTACGGATTCGAGTTCTCCACCCCAGAAAACCTCAAAGTATCAACTCTATGATTGTAAGATAGACCTCCAATTATAAGTCAATTAGATCGTGGACAAAAACGGAACCCATTTCCCTTTAATTATCTTTGTAATAGGTGAGTTAGCCGTCTTGTTACTTTATGTTTTATATACCATTTTGTAGCTCGTGAAATTCTCTATCGATTGGTATATAATAGTTGGGGTTTTATTTAACTATGATGGGAAAAGTCTTTTACGAAAGCCGGGATGGATCGATTTTTGCATAGGAAGCCATAGGGAAAAATGACTATTTTTGAAATAACTCAGGAATGGCTGAGCCGATGATGCTCATCTTCTTCTCTCGACCTCAACATTGTTAAGACTAAACTGTGTAGAAAATTTCATCGTGATCTGACTCTCCTTTCAAAAGTTCTCGTGTAAACGGCCTGACATACTGACCGATTCTAGGGTGTACTCACTTTTTGAGTACACAAATACAAATCAGTAGATGCAGAATAGGAACATCAATATAGAATCTATTCGAAGAATTTCTTCGTATGAGATATACTATATTCCGAAGAGTTGAAGTGTCTATTGGTATATTTCTTTCATTGAAAATTTTTTAAAAATCTTTTCTTTTGCCGTTTAATCGAACAATAATTTTCAAAGTTTATTTATTCAGATTAGAGGCTATCGAGTCCATAATTTTTACAACCGGACCATACTTCTTACTTTAACGAAGTGTTTTACTGTGGCCAGTAGAGCCCGTCAGGTTGGTCCCGAATCCGAAAATTTTGGATCTGCTAGGCTCTATTGACAAAGGAATCTTCTCAAGTTCTAAAAAGGTTTAACCTCATTTCGTGTGCAATAGTTACAGGACCGCTAGACTACAAAAGCCCTGACAGGATGTGTGCACTAGTTAGCTGAGAGATCGAATTTTTCCTATAGGATCTCAATTTTCCAGTAAAATCATAGTTTCGAATTTTGATCGGACATTTTGCACAAACATAGGCCTTCGATAGACTAACTTATAAATAACTAGCAACTTGCATCCTTAGGACTTTCGTAGTCTAATGATACTCTAATTAATGCACATCAAATCGAGTCAAAAGGTTTTTAACACATGAGAAGTTTCCTTCGTGAATGTGATAACCGCTTCGAAGACAATCTTAACAATGATTTTATAATAATAAAGTCATAATTGGCTATTAATTTGATACTATAACTCGTTGAGTCGGTTCCGGAACTAACCCAAGGGGCCCTAATAAAAATGCAAACTTTTGGACTATATAAAAAAAAACAAAAAAAAAACTTGATATTCTTTATAATTTCAGTATATTTGGTATGATTATGATTTCAATGATAAATTTCTAGATGAAGCAAAAATGAAACAATGTATGTTTTCGCTTGTTTCTGTTGGAATTTTTCTATTTTGGTTTATGTGGCGATATTTTTTGATCGATCGTAAGATTTTAATATTTAAAAAAAAAAACAATGAAAAAAATTAATTTTGAATTTAGATTAATTAATTGGTGTCAACGTGAAGCATATCTTCGTTTAGCTGCACATGAAAGTCTTGGTCTACCAGGTGTTTGTCCATGGTATGTCGATCTGGCTAAAATAGAACCATTTTTACCAAGTGATGAAGAACTGGATGACATGCTTATTGAAATTTAGAAAAAAGAAATATATATTAGATTATTAGTGACATTCTCTCGCTTTTTTTTTCATTCCTGTTTCGATCTTGATTGCTCTATTTGTGTAAAAAATAAGTCTTGACTTGTTTCTTTTTTGTGTACTCAAAAAGTGAGTACACTATAGAATCGGTCAGTGTGTCCGGCCGTCCGTCCGTCCGTATACACGATAACTTTCGAAAGGCGAGCCAGATCGTGATGAAATTTTCTACACAGTTCAGTCTCATCAATGTCTCAGTCGAGTTCGAAGATGAGCCTGATTGGACGAGCTCTTCCTGAGTTATTGCAAGAATACTGATTTTTTGGGTGTGGGTGTGAGTATCAGCCTTTCATTTCTCCACACTCACACCCACACCCACACCCACACCCACACCCACACCCACACCCACACCCCACACCCACACCCACACCCACACCCACACCCTACACCCACACCCACACCCACACCCACACCCACACCCAACCTTTACCAGAAACAAATGGTGAAGATGTTGATTATAAAATTGAAATTCCAGCTAATCGATTTGTTTTATTTTTTTTAATCATTATTCAAAATAATTTTAAATTTTAGTTATGATATTCTTTGTTTGGAAGGTTTAAGTCGAGCATTAAGAATTTTCTTACAAAAGTATGTTTAGATTCTTTTTTTTATTTATTAAAATCAAAAAATTTGAAATTATTTCAGAACTGAAATACCAAAATTTCATATATCAAATAAAAAATCTATTCGAATGAAAATTTTACCTAATGTATATTGATTTTCATATATTTTCTTTCTTGTTATAAAAAAATTTTTCCAATATAGACTCAACGTATTCGTCCAATTGTTGTTGGTGCAGTTCTTCGTAATATAACATTTGATACTGATAGTTATAATAGTTTTATAAAATTACAAGATAAACTTCATTTAAATTTATGTCGAAATCGAACATTAGTTGGTATAGGAACACATGATCTTGATACAATACAACCACCATTTATACATGATGCATGTGAACCAAAACAAATTAAATTTCGTTCATTAAATCAAAAAGATGAAATGCGTGCTGATGAAATGATGGAATTTTATCTTGTATTATTTTTATTTTTATTTTTTTTTATAAAATAAAAATAAAAATTGAATCTTTTTGTTTTTTGTTTTTAGAAAGATACACATCTTAAACGTTATGTTTCAATTATTCAAGATTCTGATATTTATCCAGTTATTTATGATTGAAATAAGGTTGTTTTATCACTTCCACCAATTATTAATGGTATTATATATTATTGAATAATTTCATATATATTTTTTCTTTTTTCGTCGTTTCTTTAGGTGATCATAGTAAAATAAGTCTTAAAAGAAAAAATGTTTTTATTGAATGTACTGCTGTGGATTTACATAAAGCAAATGTTGTACTCAATATAATGGTAACAATGTTTGCTCAATATTGTAGTAAACCATTTGAGTATGAATATTTCATTATTTTCTTATTTTTTTTTTGATAAGATGAATTTTCTTTCTGAATAGAATTGAATCAGTGGAAGTTGAACAAGTCGATGGAAAAGTAATTGTATATCCGGTAAGATAATTATCTATTTTTGTTGTTGTTGTTATTGATTTATTTAATAAATCAATTATAGGATTTAAGTGATCGAGTTCAAGATATATCAGTAAAAAAGATTAATCAACGTATTGGCATAGAGTATGAATATAATTTGAAGAAAAATTTTGTATTTTTTTTGTTTTTGTTTTCAAATCTTTATTTTCTAGAGTAGATGCTGAAAAAACAGCAACACTTTTAAATCGAATGTGTCTTCAAACAAAAGTTATTGATTCTGATAGAATTCGTGTTAATATTCCTGTAACAAGAGCGGATATTCTTCATTTTTGTGATATAGCTGAAGATTGTGCTGTAGCATATGGTTTTAATAATATTCGTAAAACTGTTCCGAAAACAAGTTGTATTGGAAATGAAGTAAGTAGAAAAACAAAAAATTTTTTTTGCAAATCAGAAGTTTTTTTTTTTGTTGCTTTTTAGTTTGAACTTAATCGAGTATCTGATCTTCTTCGACATTCTGTTGCAGAATCTGGTTTTATTGAAGCATTAACATTTACTTTATATTCATGTCCTGATGTAGCAGAAAAATTTGGAAAAAATATTGAAAATATTCCTGCAATACATATTGCAAATCCAAAAACACAAGATTTTCAAGTAAGATTAAAAAAAATCAATCGAGGATTAATTCATAGATTTCTGGATACAGAATTTCGCGAGAAAGCTTTTGAGACAAAAAAAAAATAAAAGTCATTTCTAGGAGAATCTAGAAGCAGTTTTGCTTAAAACATTGATATTCATTGTTGTACCATAAGTATTAGACATGTAGATTTTTCTTAAATGAGACATTTCCAGTCGAAAATTATCACCGAACGATTATCCATTAGGGAGTTGCGGGTCTAGATTTTTGTGGACTCAGACCCGATCGGATCTAAGCCCAAGGTTTTTTTTCCATCTGTATAGTTATATATTGTTGCTGCATTTCTCATCTGAGGAGCAGCGAATCCATAAAAACGTGTAACCGGTTCCAACAAAAAATAAAACTTTGGACTCGGACCCGCAGCTCCCTACTATCTATCCTGTAGTGTATTTTTCCTGAAAGATTTTCAATTCGAACGGTTGAAATGTTGCTCAGTAATGACGTAAAAGTTGTTCATAATAAGAATCATTTAATTCTTTGATTGAAGAAAGCATCAATAGTTTTCGATTTTATAAACGTGATCTTCTGTGAATTTAAGACTGATATTTAAATTAGAAAAATTAACGAGGGAACATATTCAACTGTCAAATCGCTTTTCAATTGGGTATAGTCTCAAACGATAGAGCTCAGTGAGTTATTGAACACCCTAGAATAGTTTAGTTTTTCAGGCTTCTCTTTTCGAGTTATGTGCATTTTACTCGATTTTACCCTATGAGCAAAGAATTTCCTGAGAACCTAAACAGTCGAATTTCGAGCTGAAATTTTGACTATAGATAGGTGTTATGATAACTAGAAACTTCCCAAAGTTTGAGCCAGAAGGAATGTATCCTTACCAAGATATTCATATTTAAAAGAAACGTTTGTTTTGGAATATGTTTCACAATAGGACCATTTTCATGATAAGCTTATAACTCTATAAGGATACATCCATTCTGGCTTAAATCTTGGGAAGTTTCTAGTTATTATAACACCTATCTATAGTCAAAATTTCAGCTCGAAATTCGACTGTTTAGGTTCTCAGGAAATTCTTTGCCCATAGGCCAAAATCGAATAAAATCCACATAACTCGAAAAGAGAAGCCTGGAAAAGCAAACTATTCTAGGGTGTTTAATAACTCACTGAGCTCTATCGTTTGAGACTATATCCGATTGAAAAGCGATTTGACAGTTGAATATGTTCCCTCGTAAGATCTCAATCAAACCTAATAATATATTTGGAATCAGCACAAAAAACCGAGTCGATTGATATGTGCTTCACAGTTTTTCATCAAACTCTGAGGTGAACCTCAACTAAATTTTTCGAGAATAAAAAAAAAAGTTCGTTGACTCAGTTTTCTATGCTGATTACAAATATGTTATTAGTTTCTTATACTCATTCCGAACAAATTTTTACCCAAAAATACACTATAGGATGGATTATCGTTTGACATAGTTTTTGGTGGAGAGTATCTCAGCATAAGGAAATTTACATAACTCATCATTCTATGAGTAAACTACAAAAGTGAATTTGAATCCTTGAACAACGATTCATCATGAAATTCCACATTTAGCTAAGTCATGATTGGAGAAAAACAAAGGACGGATCAAAAGACGAGATTAAAAAAAAACTTGGTCCGGGCACATCTCTAATTCCTACTCTTCGAGTATAATTAAATCATAATGAGTATGTTTTGAATGAAAATGACAAGTTAATATGTAATTTAGATTGGTCGAACATCACTTTTACCAGGTTTATTAAAAACAATTGCCAATAATCAAGATACTGCATTACCTATTCAATTGTTCGAAGTATCTGATGTTATTCTCAAAGATTCAACAGGAGGTTTGATTTATTGACGAAAGAAAAAAAAAGCATAAAAAATTTTTATTTTGTATTTTTAGAAACGGGTTGTCGAAATGAACGACGTTTATGTGCAATTTTTTATAATAAAATACCAGGTTTTGAAAAGATTCATGGTTTACTTGATCGAATGATGACATTAGTTAAAGTACCATATAATGAAAATAGAACTAATGATAAAGGTTATTATTTAAATAATCAAGGTGAAGGTAAAATTCTTTTGATAGTAATTTTTTTTTTCTTGTCTTTTGATTGAATAATTTTTTTTTGTTTTCTAGATAGTGCATTTTTCCCTGGTCGTCATGCACAAGTCATTCTTTGTGGTCAAAATATTGGTGTTATTGATGTTCTTCATCCCAATGTTATTGAACCATTTGTTTGAAGAAAAAAAAAGAAGCAAACATCTTTATTCTCATTCATGACTTAGGGGTTTTTTTTCTGAAATAAAACAAGAAAATAAAATTATATGCTAAAAAAAAAGAATATAAAGATTAATTGATTTCTATAAATTTTTCTTTGAATATCATTATTTAATAAGTTCATGATAAACAAATAGTAAAACGATTAATGTAATTCCTGCGGGATTAAAATATTTTGATGTTAATCATAGGAAAATTGTTTTATACTATCTATTTTAGGATATATTTCTTCACCATACTTTTACTTCATCCTTCAGAAATTTAGTAACGAAGTAGTTTATCGATTATTACGAAATATTCATCTGTGATCATAGATTAATAACATTTGTCACAGTTAGCTGAGATACAATTATCTGATTGACAGTTCAAATTTGGTATTGTCATAGGGACTTTCGTAAGATTGTTGTATCTCAATTAAAAATGTGCGCAAAGAAATTGAAAACGTCTCATTTTCTAGAGAATAACTTCGTCTATCGTTTCGTGTTGTTGAAACAAAATACTTAGAACATATCAAAAGTTCTGACCACAGTGTTTAAAGGATCTCTAAGGATAAGGGGATCTATTGAAAAATGAAAAAATAAATATCCGATGTTGTAGAGCTTTTTGAGACGCGTCGAATAATATATACTAAATCTTGTTTTCATAGAACTTTAAAGGACTTTGAGTCGATTTATAGATAGACGACTACACATTCACACTGGCAAGATGACTGAAGATGCTACATATAGGAGGTTGTAGTTCGTCAAAAACTTTAGAAAATCATATGTGAGAATAAATATTTTACTATCAAGGAGCACAATATTCAGAAATTTATCATAGTTGAGTGTGGATCTATACTCGTCTATCAGTAAATTAACTCTAGTTCGTTTAAAGTCTTATGTAAACAAGATTTACTATATACCATTCGAGGCGCCTTATAAAAAAATACTCAAGGAGGACATCATTCTCTCGCTGGATACAACACTGCCCATTGGGTTTGGGTTTTTTGATTGACTCTAGTATATTAGTGAAATCTCTTTTCGACATATTCTAGTATCATTCCCCTATTTCAATTTTCTACCAACGAAAAAATGGTAGGTTAGTAGATAAGGACATTTGTTTTTATTTAGGTAAAAACGATCAAAATGATTTAAGTGTTCTGTTAGTTGTTTCTAATGAAGAATTCTAGACTACTATTGAAGAAAATCAACTGAATTTCTTAGTTTATTCGTTTATGTTTATCGTAGAAACTAATGTCTGTTGAAAATTTTACGACTATGAAAAATATAGTAAAATTCGCGTTTTATTTCATGAATATCAACTTTTACAAATTATCCTTCGTTTTCTTTTCTTGGAATACAGAATGAATATAAAGGAATCGAATTTCCAATTGAAAATGACTAGCTCTATCAGATTACAGTCAATTCTGATTAGAATTGGAAAAATCTACCCTTTGAATTTAAGTTCTTATGATTGTTCTAAGTTTCTCGGTCAAAATTCACCATATTTCATGCATTTGAAATCTAATCGATTGAAAATTTATTCAGTTGTATTGTCCGATAAATAGTAATTGAATGAAGTCAATTGATATCATTTATTATTCTAGTCAACATCAGACTCTTCTATTAGCAAATATACAATGAACTATCTTGAGAAGAAATACTTAGGAACATCAATCATTCTTTGAATTTTTCTAGTTTCTAATCAGTATAATATCACTTCATAAAGTTCTCTTATTAGACTTAAAATTATTTTCATAATGAAAATATCTTTATTTTCAAAATAAAAAAAAAATATTTAGGTTGCTAAAACTTTACAAATAATGCTTCAACGTTCAATACCTGCAGATTATATTCGTGATGTATTTAATCGTTTTGGAAATTTAATTGATGTTCGTATGATAAATTCTCAATTATGTTATGTTATGTTCAGTGATGAAATTAGTGCTGATACAGCTATGGAAACAATCAATGGACAAGAAATAGCATTAGTTCGTATAGGTATTATTGAAAGTGATAAATCTGTTGATTCAACAACTGCTTCTGTTGTACATTGAAAACGACAAAAAGTGTGAGTGATATATAAATAAATAAATAAAAATAGACATACACATCTTCTCTTCACTTTTCGACTGGACTTAGAAGACATTGACTTGTTTATTTTTTCTCTTTTTTTTTCTTCTGTTTTTCATGATGCATGCACATAGACAGACATACCTTTTTTTTGTTTCTTTTATTTATTAATCCTTTTTGAACCAAATATATTCATGTTTCGTCCGTGCAGTTTCTTGTTCTGTTCTATTTTATTGTTTTGTTTTCATCATATCATTATCGTCGTGAATTTGGTTGGTTTGTTTTTCTAGATCGAAGAAGACCTCTTTTTTTTTTCTGTATTTAGCAAAGAATCAGTCGAAATATAATAAATTAAAAACATGACTTTTAGACAAATATGACTTTCTGACAGAGAAGATGTTTACTTATTATTATTTGACAAAAAAGATAAAACAAAATATATATTCTTTATTTTCTTTTTTTAAAGGTTCAAAGATCAAATGATTTAATGGTTAAATAGGGTTTGTCATTGATGAATTTAAATAATGAGATTGGACTATAATATTAATGACAAAGAAATGAAAAAAAAGTAAATCATATTTTTCATAGAACTTCCCTTTTATGAAACTTCTTTACATTGGACTGAAGAGTTTTTTTTGTGAAGATATTTATAACTAGGGATGTGCAGTTTCAGTAAATTATTCATCGATAATTGACATTAGTTTTACCGATACTGTGAGTATACTGGCTATACCTACCAATGTTCACTGTTGTTCTAACATTCATTGACGTGCCAACGCTCAATAAAACACTGACATATCGATATTGGTTTCCATTGAGTGATGTGATTTTATGATTAATTTTAGGTAAAATTTATGAACAAAATCAATCGAATAATGGATAGATGGAATTATTGGAGAAATATTTCCTCAATGTTCAATTATTTGTAATAATTGGTATTGAATTGTTTATTAACATCTATTAAAGAATAGGATATTTGAACATCGTATATATTCATTAAACAAAATTATAAGAATTTCAACAGGTAAATCATTTAATTCAATGAAATAGATGTTCCATATTTATTTTCATTTCTAACAAGGGAAGGTCCCTAAGTGATTCATCGCTTTTAAGTCATTAATACTCTCAAAAGAGTTCCGGCTGATAGCTTATTGCTACCAAGATACTTCGTTTTTACGGTATTTTTTAAGCACATTACCGTGGTTCCTCTCAGGAACATCAGAAATACTGAGTTTGGAATTTCGACTCGAAACTTTCTATAGTGACAAGTTTCAATGAGAATAGTTTATTGCAAAAGTTTTAGATCTTCTGAAATGAGAGCCTTGGAATGAGTAAGAGCGATATACATGCATATTTTTCCATAACTGTATCTAATGATAGGAACAATCAAGATATCTGAAACTTTTACAATAAACTATTCTCATTGGAACTTGTCACTATACAAAGTTTCGAGTTGAAATTCCAAACTCAGTGTTTCTAATGTTATTGAGAGGAACCATGGCACTGTGCTTAAAAAATATCGTAAAAACGAAGTATCTTGGTAGCAATAAGCTATCAGCCTGAACTCTTTTCAGGGTACTTAGAGCTCATTAGGGTCTATATGATGTAGATAATCCTGACTTAAGGGTACCCCCTCTTTTTTGACACTTGCTGGTTCTCGAAGACGGCACAATCGATCAAGCTGAAATTTTTAGCACATATAGAGCACTGAAAATAAAGAGATACGTGTCCGAGGAAAAAAATTTTAAATAACTTTTTGTGGAGTTTTCCGGAAAACTCTGGTTTTTCAGAGGTTCGCACCCTGACGCATTACGACTCCCATAAAGTTTGTTCGATTGGGCTGAAATTTTGTTTATAGACGCCTAACACTATTCCCCAGAGGTAAATTTAAGGATTTCCAAAAATCTCACTTGCTTTTTTTTTTATAAGAGAAATACGCCAAGATTTGAGTTTGTGCTTCAGATCTTGACTTTCACGACCCGGTAACTCCGAGCAGAAACGTCAGAAATGAAAACGCTTGATTTACCTCTGGAGAATACTTCGAAGTATTAGTGGTGAAATTTTCAGCTCGATCAGACAAACTAAAACGAGGGTCGTAAGCAGTCAAGATCTAGAAAATCGCTGTTTTACAGAACGATAAGTAAAAGGAAAAAATTTACATACGATTACTATAAAAAAAATTTTTTCTTAATCTAATAAATAGGTAAAAGTAAGACATTTCGAGTCGATTAATGTCTCTAGCTGCACATGGCACCTCAGGCTATCGTATCTTGGGTTCAGCTCAAAATCGAGTTTTGGGTCAAAAAAGAGGGGAGAATATTCTTAAAAGCAATGAATCACATGGGGATCTTCCCTTGTAAGTATATTTTGTTTTTGACTTCTATATGTGAATTTGATCAATGATAAATGAACATTGACAGAATCTTGTTTTTTTTTCATAATGTAATACATATGTTAAATATATTGTTCGTAGTTTATTAGAATTTGTTATTTAACAGTTCAAGATTATTTTATTTAAATATTTGCAAGGATGATAACATTTGACAATTGTTCATATAAATTTCTCATCTTCTTAGGTTTTTTTTTCTATAATTATTTGTAAAACTATTATAAATAAAAATAAAATAAGTCATTTTTTTTAATGAAATTGTTTTTTTCTATAATGAATATTATACTTGTAATTATTTATTCATTTTAAGACTTGATGTCATGTGTTTATTAGTTTATGATTTTTAAAGAAATAATATCGTTTATTTCTTTTTTCAAATGAAATATGTTTTATTAGAAAGTCAAAAATACAAAAAAAAAACAAGATTCAATTGTTCTGTACATGCTTCACGCTCATTTTCACCAAAATTGTGTCAAATGAGCTTAGAATTTACTTGAGGCTGGAATAGGATTTTGTAATTCTATAATAACAAATATTGTGAATGCATCAACAAAATAAAATTGTTTATTCGCATATCGCCAATTTTCAATCAAAACCGATGATTGACCAATAGTAGAGCCAGGGTTCACAGTGAGCTCAGCCCCTTCTTTCAAAATTTCGCCACAGGAACTCAGAGGTCCGTAGGGAGGTTGAGCTTTCTGACTCCAAAACCCTGGCTCTGCTGCTGCGGCTGACAGCGATTCATGAAAAACAAACCGACAGCTCGGACAGTCTACTCCATTTTTATCAAGCTTTTTTAATAATTTGTCTATTAAATTAATATTTTTAGTCTTAAAGAGATCCGTTTCAACTAAAAATAAATGCGGAAACTTCGGATTTAAATCCGAGAGTTATGTGTACTTCAAAAAGTGAATCAGACGAATCAGCCATCCTAGAATGTGTGGACATCAAAATTATACTGGGGAACCTACCCTCTAAACTGTTGATTTCTATTGGGTATTGTCAAGCCAATAGGACTTGGGACCACATACAGGTCATATTTGAACTCTTCTTCTTGATTTATCCTAAGAAAGTCGTTTTTCCTGTAACTTGATTTCTATTGGTCACTGCTCAACCAATAGTATTTCAATGGAAGTAGAGTACAGATTCGAGTTCTCCACCCCAGAAAACCTCGAAGCATCAGCACTGTGATCGGAAGATAGAGCTCTAATTGTGGATCAATTAGATCGTGGACAAAAATATAGCCTAGTTCTCTTTAATTATCTTTGTGATAGGTGAGTCAGCCTTCTTGTTACTTTATGTTTTATATACCATTTTGTAGCTCTTGAAATTCTCTATCAAATGGTATATAATAGTTGGGGTTTTAGTTGACTATGATAGGAAAAGTTGTTTACGAAAGCGGGAATGGGTCGATCTTTCCAGAGGGAAGGTATAGGGAAAAATGAGTATTTTTGCAATAATTCAGGAAGGGCTCGGCCAATCCTTCTCATCTTCGAACTCGACCGAGATATTGTTAAGACTGAACTGTGTAGAAAATTTCATCGCGATCGGACTCTCCTTTCAAAAGTTATCGTGTAAACGGACGGCCGGACGGACACACTGACCGATTCCAGAGTGTACTCACTTTTTGAGTACACAAAAAGATAATCTTGATCCGGAACTGTTGAATGTAGTGAACTACAATCATTGTCTTGAATAGATAACAGATTATTTTCAAGATTAACAAGTGGTGTGGTTATTTCATTTAGATTATCAATGACAATATGTTGATTGGTATTGATGACGCTACTATCTGATATAACATTTTCTGCTACTTCTTCATCTTGATCTAAATTTGAATATGAGGATATTGTTAATGGATTTTTGGATTTTTTAAATAAAAAATAAATCTAATATTGAAGCTTGCTTAGGCGTCTTCGTGTTGCATTCATCTGTATTCAAACTCGATCCCAAGTGAAAAAAGTTTATAACAGAAGCAAATTAAATATAAATAAATCAATAAATGAACCATAGCTGACTTACATATGTCAACAGCGAGTCTATTTTAAAAGTGAAATGGTGCACAATGCATATCACTGCGCACCTCGTGGAGGCCACATCTCTGAAAAAATGTAATTTAATTAAATTTTTCAATTGTTTAATTAATGATTCAATTATTGAATCATCTGTGACAAAACAAACCACATATTATTTAAATATTGAATATTATTGGTTTTTTTTATTTAAATGTTTATTTACTTTCTTACATCATAATCAATAGTTGTATCAATTTTTTCAACATTTTGTAAACTATTTTATAATTCAATGAGATCCCAATGAAACAGTTCATTAAGAATATTCGACAATTTAGCTTAAAATTTGATATAATTTTAATTAATTAAAACTGTGTCAATTAAATAAGAATTTTAGTTTTTTTTTAAATCTATTTATTTATTTTTATTCGAGAAGCATACATTAATAGATAATTTTTATTTCTGTTATTGTCATTTTGTTTCTATTTAAATAAAAAAAAAATTTTTTCTCTTTTCATTTTTATGTTGGAATTTATTCTTTCAAAATAAATAACTTTATATTCATTATTGATAACATTATATAGATTTATTTTTTTATTTCAATTGTATTTTATCTTTTTTATTTTTAACAATTTAGTCCTATATGATGTATTATTCAATTAAATTTTATTGTAATGAAATTTATTTTGGGAAAAATAATCTATTGCAATCTAATAAATTCTAATTAATAGATATATTAGAAATAGGTTAACATTCAACTAATATAACATAATTCAATTTGAAAAAGCTTTCAAAGAAAACAATTTTGTTAATAAAAGTTTTCAAGAAAAATAAATAAATTATTCCATAGACATTTTTCACTATAAGTAATCAATATAAGATTTTTCATTTTTTTTGTTTTTTCAAAGAATATTCAATCAAAACATTACATTGAATCATTTCAATTTCTTTATGTTTTTCGTCAATTTTATATATGTATTTATATGCAATGATTCATACAATGAACGTATAAAAATGATCTTACGTCATGGAAATCATTCTAATACTTATTAAACAAGAAATTCTTAAATAAAAAAAGAATTCAAGATATTATTTTTATTTAAATAAATTTATTGATACTATGATATCATTAAATGTGTTAATACATTACTGAAAAGAAACTTTTTAAACAGAAAAAAAACTTCATTAAAAATTCAAGAAAGAAAGAAACATCAATAAACTATATATTGTATATAAAGTTAATCGATTATGTATTGTAAATGATTAATATGATTTTTAAGATCACTTTGAACTTGTTTCAAATATTGACAAATAATAAATGCTTTTTGCTGTGTTAAATAATTATTTTGAACTGTTCAAATTTGTAAATATTCAAATATAAATTATTCTTTGGAATTATTTTCAAATAAAAGATTTAATTTAATTAATTTATTATTTGATGAAAATGACGAATATTTAAATTGACAATTATTATATTTATTTGTATGAATTGAATTTTATTTTTAACAATAATATTTAAATATATTTGAATTTTATTTTGTTAGATCAGTATGTTTCGATGTTAAATGAAAATGATTTTTTAAAAGAATATTTATTTGATTATCTAGATTTGAAAATGAATAAAGTATATCAATTGAATAAAAATAAGCAAAATGTAAAAATAAAAACATAGTCCATTGAATAATCTTAAGACTAATACGTATGTATAAAGCACTTATAAATCGATTAATTTATATATCAAGTATTTGAATAATGAACTTTGCTGATTATAACAGCTAAGAATCTGAAAATAGACTTGAAAATCGTAAAAATTTTTCTGATTTTAAATGTATGAAATACGAATGCAAACGATAAATGAATGGCAAAAAATGAAGTCACATTTTTCGTTATTTTCTTTTATTTATTCAAAAAGTAAGTGGAGCAGGACTTGATGGATTATATTGTAAATTCTCTAGTCTAATATCTTTAAAATAATCACTGATATAGTCCCATATTGACTTGATAAATTTTATAGCAGCATATTTGATAAGAAGAATGTAAACAATAGAGAAAATTAATAGTAGAATTGTTCGTATAATCCAATATAATTGTTTAAATGGTATGTTATATGATTGATGATATGATATAGTTTTAAGAACATCTTCATACAAGTTTGTTCACAACGAAGCAATAATTGAGCCAAACCACATGGAGACAACAGCTAGAACATTAAGAAAGCATTTTGTTTTAACAGCTTAGGAGAAAAATGAAAGTAAAGCGCAAACTATGAAGCAACCATTTTCATATTACTCTAACAGGACAGGTATTCAAGAGAAAACAAATAAGATGCAGAGGTATGTTGCATTTAATAAATAAATAGAAAGCTTTATGCATACTGTTACATTCAGTAAATAGCATATATAAAAGCAAAGGCAACAACACTAGACAAAAAAAAGCTTTCATCTCTTACTATGAATATGTATCATTATATTGTTTTTTTATAATGAGGAGTGGAGTTTGTAGTTTTGAGGTAACCTATCATCGATAGAAAAAAAGAGAAACACATATTCAAATTAAATGACGTTGTACAAACAAATTTTCTACTTTTACAATAAACAAAAATGACATATGAGCTTACTTCCAATTTCTGTTAACCAACTCCAAATTGTTGATTTTTTTGATGAAGGCGAAGTCGAACGGTTTCGAGATCCTAAAAAAGAAATACAATATATATATAGAGAATATAATCTCTTTTATTCTTTTTTTTCTTACCATCACGATAGATTAGTTCATATACGACATTGGAATCCCAATTAAACTTGAAATGACCATGTTCATCTCTTGGTATACTGAAGCGACACAAAAAAAAGCAAGAACATCTTTCTAAGGATTTTCTCCTCTGTTAAATTTTTAACGACAAACCTTACAATACAATTATGTTCATTGTTATGAAACATAATACCAGTTGCTTCAGGAAATGTTCCATAAAAATAATCTTTTCGAAGTATATTATCTGATTCAATACGAAGGCATACTAATCTTTTTTTTCGATTATCATAGATGTAAATAGGGTTCATGTTGAAGAATTTATCCTAAACACAACATAGATTGATTGATTGATAAAGAAAATATACAATGGTTATGAAACAAACTTATTATGAAATATCCTTCAAATGTTATTGTTTTTAGCCAAATTGATGTACGACTACGTATAGATTCAATAGGTAACACGATTATTATCTGAAAATATTCAATTGAGTAAAAGTAAAATTGAAAAGAGAATGCTTGTTTTGCCAATAGACAAAATTACTCAAGACAAAGAGTTGGATTCTATTGCTAAAAAATGAATTTAGAATTGAAATAACAATAAATAAAACAAGATAAGATTGGAGAAATATTTTTAGTAGTTCTCAACTAAAATGAATAAATAATCATACTTAAATAGAAGGAACGAAAATCAAAATCAAATTCAATAAACGAAGCACAAAATCATAGTACAAAAAAAAGAGTAAAATGATAAAATGTTAGTACAAAACACAATTAACTAAATAATTTTTATTTAGCATTTGCTCATTCTACCAGCTGTCATTTTTATCACCAAGTCGTTTCGAAACAGTGAAAAATTGATTCTGGTCT